TCGTATTTGTAACATGTGTTGTTGTTTTTGTAACTTTTTTACATGTAGATTTTTGTTTTATTTTAATTTTTTCAACTAGATCTTTTTTTTTGTTGAAATGTAGACAAAAAAAGAGCTTCATTTTTAACAGCTTTGTTTTCTTCAACATCACCAACGTCTTCATCTGGATTGAATTAATCCTGGAAATAAATAAAGTTAATATAATTTTATAATCGTAATTTCAATTTTTAATTTGTTTGAATTATAACTAAATGTTTCTAACTTTCAGTAAATGTTTTTTCAGTTCTCAAAATTTACCATATTTATTTGTACTTGTTGGTTGTAAACATATATTAAAGTCATTATTAGCAGCATGGAGTCTTTAATTCAAGTGGAAAACAAGACCTTTAGGAATTACATATATTCAACTAACATATTTTTTATAACATATATTTTAACTAACATATTTTTAATTATGTTCAATTTGAAGCCAAACATAAAGTTATATTTTAAGACATAAGTCTAAGTAGTTTTGGTTAATGGCTTTGCTATGTAAATCCTTTAAATATTGATTATTAACTACAGGGTCGTTAATGATCCGTTTTGGTGCAAGCGAATAAAGTAATAAACATCTCAGAGTCGCGTTTATTATTTCTGGCATTTCAATGAGGATCAGCACTAATAACTAGTTTATCCCATCAAAAAAATGTCATCACTGCTTATGCTTTACCCCGTGACTTACACCTATTCCAAACTGCAGTAAAAAAGGACTCACTACAAATAACCAAAACCCAATCATCCCTAAATTTGTAAAGCAACAATATTTTTTTGATGATAAGATATTAAAAGTGTAGATCTACTAAACAAACAAATAAAAATAACTAAATAAATCACTTACCATACCAGCGAAAGAAAACATGAAAACACAATAAATTAAAATTCTAATAGTAACACAAAAATACTCATAAATTTTTTTTTAAGACATATAAAACCATATAGGTACTTTTAGCATAAACAAACCCAAGACAATCAGTCTTAAATAAAGTATACTGCTTGTATACCTTATTTATAATTTTTAAAAAAATCAACAAAACAACAATAGTCTTCAATAAACTCTATCACTATCATAGGACAAAATACAGTATATGTTCTGCTGATTCATCTTTGGACCTTAGTGTTTGTTATCAAGTTTGATTCATAAAAACTCTAATAGTTACATGCTTGGTTTGGGCATATACTTGAGTATGAACTTACAAGATTATCTACAATAAGGTTTTTCTCTAACTCATTTATTGTATGTAATGAGCATACTTTTCCTGTCATCACAGAGAAACAGGGTAATCAATTGTTAGACACTCAAATTATCCAAGCTTTTGTTACACAAGTTATTTTTTACTCAAAATCTTTTATAGCTTGTGGTCTAGACAACATTTATGTTATAGTGTTCTGCAAAAAAAATACTTTAATGAATTTTTTTTCCTTCCCTGGGGGGCATCCATAAAGTGTGTACGCAGTAAAACCACTGATTTAAGACTCCACCTCCCTTTTACACAACTGCATTTTTTTAACACTTCATCCCCTCCTCCCCTGTGTGGTTTTTCAGAAAACTTAATTTAAAATTGTCCAAATTTCAACCAATTGTGGTGATATATATAGAGAGTGACCATTGTCCTGGTTTTTAACTTGGAGAGAATGTGCTTCAAATTATTTGAAAAAACTACATTTGAGGAAAGAAGATGTTCAAGACCACGTATGTTAGAGCAACTGCATTATGAGAAAAGTCTAACCCGTGCAAGGACAGAAACAAAGAATCTAAAACAATGACAATGATGAACATGGTAATGATGATGATAATGATGATATTATTAATTTAGCCAAGACTGCAATAAGATTTAAGACTAATGATGCTGTTACAGCAGCAATAGCAACAGCTACTTTAATTGACAATCGAGTAGTAACTAAGAATAACAAACCTCAGATAATAACAGAATATAAAGTGTTTTGTTAAAAAGCAAGTGGCTAATTCAATTGAAACTAAGCATCGTTGAAGCAGGAAATGATACAGTAAATAGTATGGCTTCAGAAACACTAAATGTTCTTACTGAATATGATACTATTGAATGGTTAGAAGGGTTATTCCATATCAAATCACCTAGTTTTTTGAAAGTTCCCCAGGGTACCACCTCAGATTTGTTTTAAACTTTGACCACACACAGATATTATGAAAAAAATACAATCCAGAAAATTTCAGCTTGATTGACCAATTTGTTCAAAAGTTATGATTGAATGAAAAATGACCAAAATCCGAAAATATTGTGTAGCAGTTTTTTTTTATTTTTGACAAACCATAACTTTTTAAATAAAGATGGTGATTACCTGAAATTTTGTAGGGTAATAGTTTTTCACCCAAATAATCCATTGTTGCAGTTGTTTTTGACTGATTTTTTACAGTTTTCAAGTTATTGTACCTTAAAGTTGCTAAATATTGCAACATAAATATTTTTTCGAACTTTAACGTGTTACAGTTTAATACTTACTTACAGAAAGTGGATTTTTTTGTTACCTTTGTGTACTTAGGGTCACCACTTGTTAGAATAATTAGAATTATACATTAAAAATTAAATTAGCACATGCAGCAGCCTATTAAAAAATCACTTTTTCTTTTAAATTATGATAAATTACATCGACTTTGCTGGCATAGAAAGTAGCGTGAACAGTTGAAATAAATTATGAAACTTTTTTATGTTGAGGTTCTATATATAGACAATGACCAAAAAAAATTTAAAGACCTATACTCTATCTTATGATATGATTGTAGCCTTTTGAGAGTTATGATATTTTTAAAAAAAGAACAAAAAAATACAAGTTTACATATAAACAATATTGAGAAATAAATATCAAAAAATAATGCAATGATGTATAGGGCTAAACCATTTCTAAACAATTAATCTTTAAGTTTATATTTTCATTTTATTGATTGTTATTTGATTTATAGCAACATTGCTTGAGCAAGTACAAATCATACAAAATTTAAATAATTGTATATTAAAGAAAAACATGCGTGCAGAGTATAATGTGGAGCTGTACCATGATAGAGCTGTACCATGCAAGCCTCATCTGCATATTCTTGGTACATGAAATGTCTATAAAACCAACTTATACCAAGTTTTAATTTATAAAACGAAGATGGAACTCTACTAGTATGTTAGAGCAAAATAATTTGAACGTATGTTAGAGCAAAATAATTTGAAGCACATTCTCTCCAAGTTTTTCTGCTTCTACCTTTAGCTTTTTCTTCTGAAACTTCCAACTCTCTACGTGCTAATAACCAGTCATCTGCATCTTTAAGCTTTACATGATCAAACCACCTAAATCTTCCCTGACGCACCCAATCAAATATACCCATAACGCCTAATCTTTTTTTTAAATCATCACTGCGTTAATTGTTTTTTAAAAGTCGCACCGCAGAACTATCATCATATTTTCTGTTCATTCTAAAAAGTTGGACATGATCAACTTTCATTGTCCATGTTTCACTGCCATACATCATAACACATTGGATATAAGTGCTGTAGAACTTTCCTTTAATCATTAATAAAGCACCTCTTGATGTAAATAGTAAAGATAATTCTCAGAACTTGGCCTAAGCAGACCTTACTCTTGCCCTAGATGCTTCTTCTACTCCACCAGCTGATCCAATTGTATCTCCTAGATAGCAAAATTTACAAAAGCACACTATCTTTGCTCCACTTTTTATTTCAAGCTCTTTTTTAACTTCTTTTTTATACTCACTAAAAGTACATTTTCTACACTCCAAACCAACAATCTTAAGAGAACATCTCTTCAATATTTATACCTCTTATAAAACCATTGCATTCATACTGTATACACTCCACATGGCCACTTCCAAGTATTTTCTGCTTGCTCATTCTTGACTTTACAATGCATAACTTTTGTCTTATTCATTTTTAGTTCTTTTGCTTCAGTTCCATCTTTCCAAGTCTCAAACCTTAATACTAATTCTTCTGTTTCAGTAATCTCTGAGTAATTGCTTTTGCTAATTGTTTGCTCCTCAAACTCTTTACTTAATTTAAAAACTAATTATATGGTTTAACTTTTTAAAACTTTATTTTATTTATATGGTATATTATGTGACAACACGGATCCTGAGCTAGTGAGGGGACCCAAGTGTGTGAGTGTCTCTAAAAGGCCCAATCATGTTATGTATTTTTTTAAACATTACTTAACAACAATGTTTTATACAAATTCAATAAAAATTATTTAATTTACATATTAGCTTGGTCAATAGTTTTTTATTCACCATAGACCTTTGTAGTTTATTTGTGGATTGCTTTATTAATAACTGTTTACTGTTTGATAAGAAAATTTGCCCATTTTTCTTTTATGTTTCCCAAAAAGATTACAGTTTTTTTTGCTTTTTTTTTTTTTTTTTGTGGCAAATAATTTCTATATATAGAATACATAAAATCCCATATTGAACAAAGAGCTATCTGATACATGACAGTGCCTTAATGCATATACGTATGTATGTACAGTAGCATGCAAAAGTTTAGAAACACCGCCTTTTTTTTTAGTTTGTAATGCATAACTTTTCACAAGTTTTTCTTCTTATCTTTTTATCAGTTGTATTTTATACTATTTTATTTAAAAATACAAAGCACAAAAATTTTATTGTTTTTTTAAAATGGTTTCAAATTAAAATTAAAATATTTCAATAAAATAATTTCAACTAGACAGTATTTGGTGGCATATCCATATAATATATAATATTTTCTCCTCTTTTCTTCCATGTCTTCATATTTCAAGTTGAAAAGATTATCTTTTTGAGTTAGTTGTTTGATTCTCATTCATTCATGTTTAACAGAAGTTAACAGATATTTTGGATTGAGTCTGTCTCTTATTGGACATCTGACATATCTAATTCTGTCGATACTGAATAGCTTAAACCTTGATTTATCAGAGAAAAAGGCTTTGGACCAGTCATCAACTGTCTAACTAAGATGATTGATGTTGAATTTTGCAAATTTTATTCTGACTTTGAAATTTCTTGTAGATATCAGCAGTTTCTTAACTGGGTGGCGACCATTGAGATTATTTTGTTGTAATCAACATTTAGTTTTATTGATCTAATGTTAGTGCCATAAAACTGATAGATAATTGAATTAAGTTTGTCAGCAATCTCAGCAATGTCAGCAATAAGTTTGTCAGCAATCAGCAAAAAGAAGGATTATTCTTAAAATTCCTTACTAATAATCATCATTTTCAGTTGTATCTTTAGGTCTTCCAAAGTGAAGTTGTATCGTTAGGTTTTTCAAAGTGAACTTGTATCTTTAGATCTTTCAGAGTGAAGTTGTATCTTTAGGTCTTCCAGAGTGAGTCTTGCTTTCAATAGTTTTACGCCAATGAAATCTTCTCATAATGTGACTTATTCCTGGATTAAAAACATTGCAAAGTTTATTGTAATCTTTTTGAAGTCATTTTTTTTTTCCCACAGCTTTCAAAATTTTTTTTTTTTTTTGAAACTTCCATAGCCTTTCCCAGGCTTTTAAAATATCACTAAGTAATTATATTTCAAAATTATTTTGACAACTAGTTATATTTCACTGCTTTTGAAGTCTCAAAGTAAATGAATTATCAAATTTTACAAATATTTTGGCCTTCAATTTTGCTTTTGTTTACCACAAACTTGATTTAGTTGTGGGAGATGATGTGGGAGACTATTTCTAAACTTTTGTACTTAAGCTTTTTCAAAAAAGCTGTCAAATTTTAATTGTTAAATTTTAAAATTTTTGTGGTTTGTATTTTGAATTGAAATAATATATAGTAATACAGCTTATTTGAGAAAGTTTCCAAAAAGTTATACTTTAAAAACTAAAAATTTTTTTTCTGTATATATGTATGCATGTATATGTATACATACATGTGTGTATGTATGTTTCTAGGTATGTATGTATGTATGTATGTATGTATGTATGTATGTATGTATGTATGTATGTATGTTTGTATGTATGTATGTATGTATGTATGTATATATGTATGTATGTATGTATATATGTATGTATGTATGTAATTTGATAGGTTTTTGTGATTATCTTTAATGTGGTAATAACTTATTTATTTTAAGGCAGCTCAAATAATCAAGTGTTCATTCCAAATAAAAGAAATCAAATTGAAGATCGCAAAGTAGTGAAAAATGTTTTGTTATATGAAGATGGTGTTGGTAATACTATTGTAAATGCGATAAATAACATTGAAATAAATTTCTCTCTCAAAGAACTTAAAGAGCAAAAACCCTTAAATAATCAGAAAGATTTTTTCAGGGAAAGTAAAGATAATAAATCTTCAGTTAGTACCTTTACTAAAAGTGATATTGGAAAAAATCCCCAAAATAATAATTTTTGTGAAAATGATTTTATAAGGTTAAGTATTGATAAAAAATGCATTGAAGCAAATAAATATAGTGTTGTTAGTCAAGAATATCAATGTGGTACCAACAATGTAGCAAACTGTGTTGATAATGACATTAATGAAATCTTTTTTAAAAAAAACTCAAACCATAGACCAAAATGCATTCAAAAATATAATGATGAGAAAACACAATTACTAATCGAAAAGAATGATGGTAAAAATAACTTATACAATTGGAAACATAATGGAAAAGTTTCTCAAAAATTTAACATTATTTTTGAAAATAAACAAGGAATAATTAATGAACAAGTACAAAAAAATATTTTCAAGGAAAATCAAGAACATTTGACATTTAATGGTTCAACAAAGAGTCAGAACTCTGAGCTAAAAGAACATCATAAAAAGCAAGATAATAAAGAATTAGAAGCCAACATGATAAATAACAATTATAAAAGTCAGTTATGCAATGAATTAGAAAATAATCAAATGGAGGTATTACATTTTTAATGACAATAAAGGAGTGTTTTATTTGAGAAAAAGAATTATTTCTTTTTCTCAGATAAAATATAAATCTTTCTAAAAGTGTTTTTCTATGGTTTTTTTGTTTATCCTCATAAATTAACTCCTACCTAACAAACTTGATTAAAACATATATCAAAGGAACAGTTTTTATTGCTAAAATTTTTATTTTTTTTTTGAAAAAGAGAGATGAAAACTTGTATTTATTCAGTTGTTTTTGTATATACGGTATCTGTGCCCAAAATTGCATAAATGACTGGAAGTATGTGCGCCACAGATCTAAAGTTGCATCTTTTATTACCTTTTTTTATACTAAATTCTGATTATTGGTGTAAATTGTAGTTGTATTCCAATCGCTTTTACTTATTAATATGCCTGCTTTAGTCCTAAATAAACAAATATCAAAAAGGATATTACAGTTTCTTACAATGGACCTATCTAGTTGAAAAAACTTTATAAATTAATATGATGTTTTGACGAAACAGATTGAAGCTGTAGCTGACTCCATCTAGACACTTTTTGTCTTTTTTTTTCCAGGTTTTTTCCATTCTTCAGTTGGTGCAGGTTATGTAGCTTTTCTTTACTCTTTACACGCACTCTACTTTACTTTGAATAGGTTTTGCTGCTCTTTTGGATGAATCTTTGACCATATCAACAGATTTTACAAAGTTATGGCTATTTGACATTGAAGTTAATTCTTGAAGATAATTTTTTGTAAAAGGATTGTGGAAGTTTTACCATGCTTTTTTCTGTACTGTACCCCAGAATTATAAAGTTTAACCATGAGTTCTTAAAAACATAAGAAGTCAGAGATGAGAGAATATCTTTATACCATAAAAAATTGGAAACAGCTGGAAGAATTGCTTTCTTTTTCTCAACTTCTACATAGTTGTGTTCCTCTCTTTCTTTTAAGTAAAGAAACTTTGCCATTACTTTCATGTTCCTACAGTGTCCACTATCAGCCAAGACCAACATCATTGATAGACAAGACCAACATCATTACAACTGTAGATGGATCAATATAGTCAGCCATATCAATTTCTTGATGGTGTCTTTACTCTTATTAATGACCTTTCTGATCCTTAGTAGCAGTAGTTTTAAATTCAGAAAGTAAAAAGCTTTTCATATGATTCTTGCATATAAGATGGCTCTAGCTTTGTGAATTCTGTATTTGTTGACATGACCTTTATCAAGACACATTATCACAATTTATTTGCAATCAAGACACATAATTAGAATTCATTTAATTGCTCAGGCATTTCTCAATAGTCACTGTGAATCAAATGTTTGAATAAAAATTAAGATTAAATTTATAGGTTGTCAGTGTTGTTAACCATTTTAATTAACTCGTAGATGTTCCTGTATGGTTCTGTTAGAGATTCTGTGTCCAGAGCTGAGGGACAAATTAATATCATCAATATTTCTACTAGTACTGGTAACAACAGAATTTTTAAGTGAATTTGTCTGATTGTTGGAAACATCCATTTTGATAACAGTTCTGGCAATTTTTGACAGAATATACTTATTAAGAGTAAGTACCTGAGCATTATCAGCCTTCTTCCTCTTAGGCAGATGAATCTCAAAATCTTCATCATTAAAACTTCATTCTACTCTAATTTACAATCATCAAAACATCACAATAGTCATTTTCGATTTTTAGATACTTAAGCACATACTTCTCAGCTTGAACTTTAAGTTTCTTATCATTTAGGACGCAAAAGCCAGTTTTTCTTTATGGAACCAGAATACAATCAAATTCACAGAAAACACTATCTTCAATTCACAACAAAAAACTTTTTATGATTAGATCTCATATAAACATTTGGTTTCCTCGTGCTTTCCTTAATTTTCTAAATGGCAAAATTCCTTATTCCTTGTTGTCACTGTTTTTTATGTCATAAGTTTTTTATGAAAGAAATATATTATAAAAAAATATATACATTATAAAAATACTAAAACCTCAAATTTTTACACTACTTTTGCTTCATAGAAATACAAAATAGTTTATAAAACCTGATTAAGTTGATTATTAAAAGTTTATTTTTAATTAAATGGATTTCAGCTGTTTAGAATGTCTATAACTAAAGATTTTTTAAAGGGAAACAAAATTATAAACGAAATAAAATAATAACTTAAAAAATATTTGCTGAAAAAACTTTGAACTAATGAATAAATAGTTTTATAACTTTACACTATCATCTTTGCAAACTAAATACTTATAATGCTAAGAACCAATTATTGGTCTTTTTTGAATTCATTATGGCAGACCAGCTTTTTTTTACTTGTTGATTTTTTTATGGCAAACCAGTTTCTATTTGTTGAACTTATTATAGCTGACCAGCTTCAATTTGTTGAATTTATTATGGCAGACTAGTTTCTATTTGTTGAAAATCTATATTAATTTTGCTTTGTTTTTTTTATCAGTAAATTGATTTTTCTTTTTTACAAATTTTATTGTCAATTAAAAATTCAAAGATTTAATTTGCTCTCTAATTGATGTTTTAATTTCTCTTGCCTCAGTTCTTTTAATGTTGGCCATATTTTACTTTAAACTGCATTTATTAATTTTTTTATTAAGACCCCCACCACCTCCCCGTTAATTAATTTTTACTTGTTGTCAGCAAAAACCTTATATCTCAAAACTACAAAAGAAAAAAAATTAGTCAAAATCGGCCTTGAAAATAAGAAAATACTTTTTTCAGTTACTGATAAAAACAAAAACTTTTTGTTTAAACAAACTTTAAAAATCGCTGACCCAGTAAATCTCAATTTGTTGAAAATGAGCTTTTGGTTTATTTCGCACCAAAGTATAAAACTTGAATCAGCATATTAAATCCTATTGAAATTATAATAAAATGGCTGTTTGAAAATGTACATTTGACCACAAGTTACACTATAATTAAATAGTCCCTGTATTAAGGACTTAAGAGTAATCAATTCTTACATAATACGACTATAAAACAACAATAAATGTAAAATTTCATTTTTAAATAAATTTTTCTAATGAAATTAATTTTGACAATCCGAAATGTCAGTATCGTTTTTGGTAAAATATTTGCTGAAATGTCGGTTTTGATTTCAGCACTGAACGAGAGTACCTGAAAGTTCGGTTTATTTCGATTTTGGCTTTTTTTCGGTTTCGGTCGATCACTAATGCTTGAGGTTTCTCTAGAATCCAAGATTTTTGAGTGAAATGTTTTGTATAAATTTTTTCACCCTGGTGCTAAAAGAAGTGGAATAAAATTCTTGATTTGAAAATATTAATTTATTTAAATAAAAAATTTTGTTAGAAAAGAAATAAAAATGTACATAAAATAGTTGTTTTATTTTAAATTTTTATTTATACTAGTACCGGTCAAAATTGTTGGGTGTTAGAAGAACCTCAAGAACTCATCTTAATCCAAAAATACTTTTTTACTTTTTCGTTATAACTTATATAACCATACATGTCTCAAGAATATTTATTTTCAAACATATTTTAGCTATTAAAATCGCACCACTCTAATCCTTACTATTGTTACAATAGCTTTATTCAGTAAATTATTGGTACATACTTAGCTACTATGAACTGAAACTGAGGCACATATAACAGGAATTATCTTTTTCCGGATATTTCTGGAATTCCGGATATTTTTTTCAACTTTTGGTTTTTCCGGATATCCAAAATATTTTCAATACATGCAAGATGAGGTATAAATTTTTGTAATATATTTATTTTTTAAGCTTTTTCACTCATCACTTAAAAAAAATTATGAAAAGTAACAAAAAAAAATTAGAAACTTAACTAAAAGCGAAATTAAAAAGAAAATAAAGGAAAACAATTTCCGGATTTTTTCCGGATGTTTTTTCCAAACTATTTTCCGGATTTTTAAGATATGACTAGAATAATCTATGATATAAAAATAATATTGTTTTGTTTTCTATCTTATGAAGCTTGTACTACAGCCTGATCCTGGCTAAATTTCACATTTTTATCAAACTCACACCCAGTTGTTTAATGTAATTTACCTGTATGTATAATATGCATGTTTGTGTTCTATTTGAACCTCAGGAGCAGTGTTTGTTCACTCATAAATTACTATATGTATATTCGTGTGAACTTCTGGTGCAGTGTTACTTTGCCCATAAGTTACTATATGTATGTTTGTGCTCTGCTTGAATCTCTGATGTAGTGTTAGTGATGTAGTGTTAGCTCACTTATTAACTAGTGACTACAACTATATAAAGTATGTTCACCTTAATTTAAAATATTCCTTTAGATAAAATATTTTTCATAAAGCAAATGTTTTATATAAACCTAGTACCTGTCTCAACATTCCTACTAATAACATATAATCCAGTTGTACCTGTCCCAAGTCCTGCTGCTTACAAGGCAGCAGGACTTGGGGCAGGTACTACTGGATTATATGTTATTAGTAGGTAACATGTAATCCAGTACTACATGCCCCATGTAGGCATCATATAATTACCAGTAGGTAACTTGTAATATAGTACTACCTGCCGCATGTCCTGTTTCCTAGTAGGACATTCACTTTTATAATCTAATGAGGGTACAACTCTAAAATTCATTTTAAGGGTTCTGAAACCAGCTGATAATGAGGTTTCTCAACCTCTGTAGTAACTGTCAGGCTGATTCCATTAATAGCTCTAAATTATCAGAGTATTAACATGCCGCGTTGCGCATGGATGCTTAACGCTTATCTCTTACCCAGAAAGTTAACTTTGTGACTCGTTTTCCAGACAACCTTGACTACTTATCTCTACTCTTTGATCTGAGTCTTGTCTCTGACTTTTTTTTTTTTTTAATTCTGATTTATTCCCAACAAAGCTACAAGCAACCACTATTAAGTTGGGAGTTACTAGAATAGTAATAGAAGAAAAGTAATAGTAATAAAAAAAGAATAGAGTTATAGAGCAACAAAATGGTTGATAGAAGATTTAAAAAGTTGAAGGTTGTATGAATCAGGAAAACA